AAAGGGGTTCTACAACTTGCCCAGTGACATAGTCCTCATGCAAAGCCTTTACAGAGTATAGGACCTTAGGTGGAATCCTGAGTCCTATCCACAACCTTATGAGGTGAGAGATTCCCACTAGAAAGGACAAGCAGACTGGAAGCTACAGTGACAGATGATGCATCTTCATGATGAACCTGAGCGGTAGTTACTCTAAATACCAACAGAGAGGGAAAGAGTCTTCAAATCAAGTTTCAATGCTATCCACTCTGTACACAGGGTAGATAGGAAGAGGCAACTTAGACATTGGCTACCTAAAATGAGGGGGCAATAAAGGCACGAAGTGACTGGCTTATAAAGTTTCAAGAGGGAGTTTAGCTTAAGAGTATGGGGCAAAGAAAGAGTCCCCACTAAATAGCTGTCATCTTGTCTAGATGGGTCTGGTGAAAAGATATGGGGATATGATTTGTAAGATTCAATAGTGAATAACTGTTATCACGACTAATCGCGACTGTCACAATTGTAAATGTAGAAGTTTTGTAACAAAAAAAGGGGAGTGGTTAATCTTACAGTGCAGAAACAGAGGACCCTAGGACCATCAATCGAGGAACGCACAAACAGAGTGCGGGACCTTATCCAGAGAAGCAGCGCCAGAGATGGGGCCATGGAGAGGGGCAGTGGCTGAGGACTCTAGATTCACAGACTAAGAAGAGAAGGATTAAGAGCTGGTGGCCAGGAGTAGACTTGCAGAATGTGCCCTTTGGAGATGTAAATTATTATATATGCCTGAGTAGGTTTTGTGTGTTTGTGTTTTTTAAAAAGCTAAAGTGGACAGAAATACTTTTAAGTGATGGTACATGGAGGGGATTATAATCAATGTAATGAAACAAGGTGTATGATTTGTTGAATGTAAAACTGATATTATGCCCTGTAAACTTTCACTCAATCCACAATAAAAACCTTAAAAAAAGAATACAACCATCAAGGAAATAAGAGAAGTTCATGGGAAAAGGGGAAAACTAATTTTAAATGACAATGCTCCCAGTAAGGACTAGTGGGCAAACTTGGGAAGAGAATGTGACCCTGTGGTACTCAATGGAGGGAGAATTGGAGGAGGGGTTTTTTTGGGACAGGGAAATAAAACCGTTTGCAGGCTGGCCATGTGGCACTTCTGCCTGTGTCTACTGGGTTGGGCACCCAACTTTGCAAAATCAAATAAAGAAAACCTCACTCTCACTAAAATGAGTACAGATTGGATTGAGTGTTTGTCAGTATGGATGTTTCTCATATGCATTACATAACAAGAAAGGTGGGCAAGAGGGAGTATAAAGCCTGTGCTGAAGTCTTTCTACAGGTGTACAACAGAAAGATGCAGCATTATTCACTGTGACTGTGTAACAGTGATCTAGTCAATGTGCTAGAGTAAATATACACAAAAGAACCAAAGTGAAACCATCGGATCTTATTCCTACCAAAACAAATAGTACACATAAACAAAAAGTAAAACTTAATCACAAGGTCTGTGTTATTACTTTGATTACAGCCCACATATCCAGTTAATTAGACAACCTCAATCGGCATGTAACTGAAAATGTCCAAAATAAGACTTGGGGCAACATATTTTCTATTATCCTCCATATGGAAAGACTACAGCTTTAATTCTTTATGCTGTAGGTTAATGCACTAGACTGTAAGGTCACTTTGAATTGCAAGGTGGGTGGTTCAAGCACACCAGATGCTACTTGGAAACGCTATCCAGGGTCGCTCGGAGTAGGAACCAATGGCATATAACAACAAGAAGCATTATTAGTTCACAGAGTACTTAAACTTAACCCTTCCTTGGTCAGTATGAATTCTGAAATCAGAATCAAGTTATGAATCATTTATAATAAGAACACTGTAGTAAAATACTAATTTTCTTCCAGTGTGTCTTCCTCTGAAGGGAAACAAAAAATGGTGGGAATTTTTCAGTCTTTCCCTGTGTGGGGATTTACAAAATTTTCTGTGAAACTAAAGCTACAAAGTCAAACAGGTAAATAAACAACAATATCAAGCTTATTTCAACAAAATCATGTTTTCAAAAGAAAAATCTATCTAATGCAAGTAATGTACATGTACAAGAAATCACAAGAAATTAAGATTACAGTTAATTACAGATGAAAAATAAGATCTAATTATTCCAGGCTCATGAACATAATAATTAATATTAAATTTATATGCCAGTCCAAATATTATGTACAATTTAGATAAGCTGGTCAAGTATTACTTGAACACACACCAAATTTGATTAATCTAAAGTTACCTTTCTCCTCCTTTAATATGAAATACATGCCAATATGAAAAATTATTTTCATTATTGTATTAACAGAGAAGATAGCATTTCTAGTGTGTATTATTTCAGATTATAAAAAAAGGTTAAGGGATATTTTCCTTTAAGAAGAAGAAAAAAACCAATGGCCAAAAGTTTAGTTGATAAAAGTTTAATGTCAATTTACTTATAAAAATGGGGGGAAAATCCCACTTGTTTTTGGAACGAGAACAATTATTACATGGTTTCCATATTGATCTGAAACTACGGAAGGCATTAAAGGAAGGGATGTTATGTCAAAAACCAAGACTAACCCAAGGTATGTATGCTTAAAAATCTGATATGCAGGAAAACTAGTTGCTTGGCCTAGTTCTAAAGCTAATTACAAAATCCATTTTCTTAATGGTCCAAACATCTTGCCAGTTCTTCCAACTCAGCAAAACTGTCAAAAAAAGAAGAAATATTATTGAGAATTTAAAATACAGACAATGGTATATCCTCCACTTAATACAACATAAACCTTAATCTGTGAAAGAGGCATTTTTTAAAAAGATGCTGTTTTTCAGATGTGAACTTCTTTAAGTCCAGCAGGTGATATATCAGACCTTATGCTGCAAACCTTCTGTATCTAAAATCAGCTGTCGGTAGACCCACTCCTGACAATAATAATGGCCATGTGCACAACAAATCTAAGAGTGCTATCTGACTTCTCAAATGTTTTCAGATTTGCTGCAAAGACTGTAACATATATAAATATCCCTCTCTTAGGCCACTGTAGGAACTTTTATCAACTTGTAAAGATAAAGAGACATCTTACTTCAAACCATGAGGATACAATCAATACCAATCATTTTCCCAAACAGAGAGCTAAATCAGTGTGAATAATAAAGTAACTCCTGTTTCTGATACTTAAAATTGTGTAAAGAGGCAAAGTCCCACACCATGTTTGTAGGGGATACACACCCAGTCCTGTTGTAGTGCTGTGGGTTAATGAGCTGGACTACATGTCGGCTTGAACCGCAATGTTGGCGGTTCGAGCTTACCAGCTGCTCCTCAAAAACCTGATACAGGGTCGCTATGAATCTGAACAGACTTGACAGTACTTAACAACAACATACACCCACTGTTTGACATTTATTTACTACTGACTTCCAATAAGCACTTTTTATAATAATATAATAAGCACTAAAGGAATCCTAAGTAGTTCTGGTAGCATAGTGGTTATGAATCGGGTTGCTAACCTCAAGGTCAGCAGTTCGAAACTACCAGCTATTCCACGGGAGAAAGATGAGGTTTTCTGCTCCCGTATTTGCAACCTTGGAAACCCTGTGCAGGGTTGACTATGAGTCAAAACCAACTCCACGGTACTTAACAATAACAAAGGAGTCCTGGTGTGGCGCTGTGGGTAAATGTGCCAGACTGCAAAGCCATTTGAACTGCAAAGTCAGTGATTCAAGCTCACCAGCTGCTCCTTGGAAACCCTATACAGGGTTGCTATGGGTCGGAATTGACTCGCCAGCACTTAACAACAACAAAAATAAGCACTAAGCTGAAAAGTCTCCTAACTTAAAAAAGAAGAATCTTGCATAAACTTAACAAAAACTAATAAAAATAGCTAGCACTTTGGAACACTGACAATTAAGTTTAAATGTATCATCTCTACTCCTCACCATAACCTAAAATGCATTATTTCCATTTAATACAGAAAAAAATTCCAGTTCAGTAATAGTGAAAAAAGAGTTCAAAATCTGTTGAGTCCCCAAGACCATATTCCTTCCATGTGAGCCTCTAGAGCTCACATTGCCCACCTCTATATATAGTATGTGTTCTTAGATCTTACATATAATCCTATCAATTTAAAACTATATTTTTGGAGTTTACAAAAAACACTAAAAAATTATGTATTTAAAATGACAAAAATTTACTTCTTGGGGCTAATTCAAAAAACAACAATATTCATTTGCATTTCCTAAAATAAACACTACAATCAGTGAGCTTGATTTCAAAAAGCTCAGGTAACATAGTGGTTATGAGTCGGGCTGCTAACCTTAATTACGGTCAGCAGTTTGAAACTACCAGCGGTTCCGCAAGAAAAAAATGATGCTTTCTGCTCCCATAAAGATTTACAGCCTCAGGAAACCTATACAGAAAAACTATGAGTCGGAACCGACTCTAAGTCACATAACCATCACTACACCAAAGTAATATATGAGTATAAGTCAAAAAGTACTGCAACAAAATCAGAGCAACTTTTATTCAACACAATTCTAAAATTGGGAAGCTACTGTTTCTAGATATGTCTTCCATTTAGGTCTATACATTTCTTGAAATGGTGTGCACATTTCTCTAATCCTTTCCTGAAGACTTCTGTGCTCTTTAATTTACACCATGTCAAAACAGCAGTTTGACACCCTTGAGGGACTGAAACATGTTCCTTTAAAATGTTATTTTGAGGAAGAAAAAGAAGTCTGAAGGGGCAAAGTCAGGGATATAGGGTGGGCATAGTAAGGTTTCCCAACAAAATTCTTGTAAGGGAAGCCCTTGCTATCCTCGAAGAATGAGCAGGTGCACTGTCGTGGCAGAAAAGAAATGCCTTGGTGCAAATTTCCTAACCTTTATACAGTTTTCAATTTTCTTTAAGCCACTGATTATCTTGTGTCCTTTGAGAAAATCTATAAACATTACTCCTTTGTTGTTATTGTTAGGTGCCATTCAGTTGGTACTGATTCATAGTGACCCTGTGCACAACAGAATGAACCACTGCCTAATCCTGGGACAACCTCACAATCGTTGCTAAATTTGAGCCCACTGATGCTGCCACTTTGCCAATCCATCTCGCTGGGGGACTTTCTCTTTTTCTCTGACCCTTCACTTTACCAAACATGGTATCTCTCTCCAGTGACTGTTCCCTTCTGACAATATATTCTAAGTATGAAAGATGAAATCTGGCTATCTTGGTTCCCAAGGAGCACTCTGACTATACTTCTTCCAACACAAATCTGTTTGTTCTTTTGGCAGTCCATGGTACTTTCAATATTCTCCTCCAACACCATAACTCAAAAGCATCAATTCTTCTATGGTCTTCCTTTATTCACTGTTCAGCTTTTGCATGCATATGAAGTTACTGAAAATACTATGGATTGCGTCAGGTGTACTTCAGTCCTCAAACTGACATCTTGGCTCTTCAACACTTTAAAGAGGTCTTGTGCAGCAGATTTGCCCAATGCAATACGTTGTTTGATTTCCTGGCTGCATGAGTGTTGACAGTTGATCCAAGAAAAATGACGTTTTTGATAACTTCAATCTTTTCTCCATTGATAAGAATGTTACTTACTGGTCCAGTGGTGAGGATTTTTGTTTTCTATACATTGAAGTGCAACCCATAGTGAAGGCTGTGGTCTTTGATCTTCATCAGGAAGTATGTTAAGACCGCTTGGCTTTCAGCAAGTAGGCTGTAACTTCTGCGTACCACAAGGTGTTAATGAGTCTTCCTCCAATCTTTATGCAACGTTTTTCTTCATATAATCCCACTTCTCAGACTATTTGTTCAGCATACAGATTAAATCAGTACGGTGAAAGAAGACAATCCTGGCACACACCTTTCCTAATTTCATATCATTTGGTGGTTCCCTTGTTCTGTTCAAACAACTGTCTCTTGGTCTATGTACAGGTTTCACATGAGCACAATTAAGTGTTCCGGCATACTCATACTTTGTAATGTTGTCCACAGCTTGTCATGATCCACACAAATGAAAGCCTTTGCATAGCCAATAAAGCACAAGTCAACATCTTTTTGGTATTCTCTGCTTTCAGCCAAGATCCATCTGATATCAGAACGATATCCCTCATTCCACATCCTCTTCTGAAACCAGCTTGAACCTCTGTAAGTTGCCTGTCAATGTATGGTTGCTGTTGTTTCTGTATTACCTTTAGTAAACTTTACTTGCATGGGGTATCAGTGACATTGTCCAATGATTTCCACATTCCACTGAGTCACCTCTCTTCAGAATGGGTGTAAATACGGATCTCTTCTGTCAGTTGGCTAGATAATTGTCTTTCAAATTTCTAGGCATAGATGAATGAGTGCTTCCAGTGCCACCTCACTGTCTTGAAAGGTTTTAATTTGTATTCCATCAATTCCCAATGCCTTGTTCTCTACCAATGACTTCAATGCACCTTGGACTTCTTCTTTCAGGATCATTGGCTCTTGAACATATGCTTCCTCTTGAAATGGTTGCACATCAATCATTTGTTTTTGGTAAAGTGACTCTGTATTCCTTCCATCTTCTTTTTTTATTTTTTCCTTAATGTTTTATTGTGAATTATGTGATAGTTTACATGGGAGAACATTCGTTTTACATTCATCCTATAGTATATCATTTCATTGAGATGGTTACAATCCCCTCCATGCATCATCAACCATCCAAAGGGTATACTGCATCCATAGGTACAGGTCAAGTTCATCAAATTGTATCAGATTACTCATTTTTTTCCTCTTCTTTTCTTTTTCTGTTTGAGTTCTGCCTTCCATCTTCTTTTGATGCTTTCTCATCATTCAGTATTTTGCCCATAGAATCCTTTAATACCACAAGTCAAGGTTTGGATTTTTTCTTTGGTTCCCTCAGTTTGAGAAATGCTATGTATATTCTTCCCTTTTGTTTTTCTAACTCCAGGTCTTTGCATATTTTGTTATAATATTTGGCTTTGAAAATTTCTGTTCAGCTCTTCTATGTCCTCACTTCTTTCATTTGCTTTAGCATCTCTATGTGGGAGAGCAAGTTTCAGAGTCTCTTCTGACATTCATTTTGGTGTTTTACTTCTCTGTCATCCCCCAAAAGTCACCATAACCTTCTGAGCTGACATCTCTCCCTTGAGTTTAGTTGGTCCAGCACATGCCACAGAAGTCACTGTTTCCATTGGACTATGCTCTTTGGATTGTACCAGTAAATTTAAGACTCATCCCCAGTTGTAATTTATTCCATAAAATTGTCTTCATTAACTTCAATCTTCCTAAAGACTGACAGAAAGATCTGCACTTTGAGATAGCTGACTTTTGCTAACATCTTTGACATTCGTTTCAAAATGAAAATACTGACCCATATGACATCACAACTTCAGTAGCTATAACATCAATGGTAATTCTATAGTCATCTTCTTTCATCAGTTATGGACTTCTGCAAGTTTCTTCTGTGGTGACGGACACTCTTTGGCTATATGTGAAGCCCTACATAGTCTTCCTTAAAATGCATGATCCATCTCAACACAGTTTTGTTTTATAACGTGAAACATCATTCCCATAAACTTGTTATAAAACTTCAATGATTGTGAAGATGTTCACTTGAGTTTTATTAAATATTTGATATTATCCCTGACCTCAAAATCATTTTTTAAAGGCATAAAAAATATACGTATTTTGGAAAGTACCCCAACGAGACTAAAACAGCATATTACTGAGAGAATTTCTCTGCACCATCCACTGAGCGCAGAGAAATGCTTAAATATATTGTGGAAGAAATACATTGACATATAAACTGGAACCCTAGAAGCAATACTTTCTGACTTATCCTTATACAGGTACAGATAATCCAAAAATACAAAAGTAGAAGCAAACATTTATATTCTTAAAACAGAGTGAACACAATATATGTAGGACTGTGATACAATAACACATTTAAGATTCATGCTCATCATGAAGGTACTAAAAGTAACACTAAAACATTTTAAAAGAGTACAAAACCCTACATTCTATCACAAGTGGTCAATCATTGACTTTTAAAATATTTGTCCATGTGTGAATATGAATATATTTAGATATGTTATACTTATGAAGACTTTAAGAAATTATTCTAATATAAATGTTTATAATATGAATCAAGAGGTTTCCATACCTTCCATCGATTTCCACATTCATTACAGACAACAAATGTTGTCATCGGTTCATCAGCACTACGGGTTTGTACCTGCAGCAAAAGTAAATGGAAAGTATTATCATTTGCAGTCCCATAAAAACACTGACCTAAATAAGAGCAAAATATATGAAGATATATAATAACCACTTGTGGGTCACACGTTGGGCTGCTAACCACAAGGTCAGCAGTTCAAATCCATCAGTTACTCCACTGAAAAGAGAGAAGACTTTCTGCTCCTGCAAAGATTTACAGCCTTGGAAACCCTACACAAGATCACTGTGAGTCAGAATCAATGCCATGGCAGTGGGTTTTATTTTTTGGGTTTTTTTTTTGGTATGGCATCACAGTAAAGTAAGCAGCTGAACAAAATTCAAATAAGATAAATAATGCCCAAACAGGGTACATTTCCAAATTTCCGTTTTCTTTTTATTTGTTAATTTAACCCAGATAAGTGGGGAAATTCACAAAACTCACTAGTTATATTTATAAATGGTTAATTAAAAAAAGAAAAAAATCATCATTAAGAAACATAAATTAAAAGATTCATTTCCTCTATCAAACAAGCAAGGATATAAAAATATTTCAGTCTGACAAATATAAAAGTGTAACTGCTACCTTTCTAAAAACTAGTCAGCAACAGGCAAGAACCTTAAACACACATTCTATTTTAAGAAGAAAATTAGAAATTAAAATAAAGACCTGTGTAAATGGATCTACAAAGAATATATTTTATAATAGCACAAGCACTGGAAAGATAACACTCAAAACCAATGAGCTTTGAAATAAGTTAGAATTAGATTGCAACCCTCATGGTACCTGTCAATTATGAACACAATTTTAACTCAAAAGTCCAAAGAAGATAAAGAATAACCATAATCAAAATATCTGCATTGTTTATTTAAGGCCTTCAGAAAAAAAAAATAGTTTGAAAATTTTTACACATATTTAATATCCAGTTCCCTAAAAGCAGGAGTCCTGGTAGGGTGCTGTAGGTAAGCACTGGACTGCTAACCAAAAAGCTGGCGATTCACACCCACCAGCCACTTCTCTGAGTTCCTATATTCATACGGTTGTTTGAGTTTAGAATCAAATGCACTTAACAACAACAAAAGTAGCTGTTGTTGTTAAGTGTCTTGAGTTGTTTCCAACTCATAACGACCCAGTATAGGGTTTCCAAGGAGCAAACGATGTACTTGATCTGCCGACCTTGTGGTTCAAACTGACATTGCAGTCCTACGCTTATCCTACAGTGCTACACCAGAACTCCTAACAACAACAAAAGTAGCAAGGAGGAAACTTTTGCTCTTAGAATTGCCTGGTGGGCACCTGCCAACTCACATATATCAGGGCTTCAAGCCAGTTCAGTTTGGTTCAGTGATGGCCGACAAACAGACACCAGAATTGACCTTGATTTTCTTAAACTGGGTAAACTGGAACACTAAACAGAATGGGGAAATTATGGATCTCAGACCTGGTAGAAACTTAATCTCCCTTGTAGAAAATAAGGGCAGTGTGTGTGTGCTGCATAGTAGTCAAATCTCTTGACTAGTTGAGATGAAAGGAACAGTGCTCAGCCCAAAGATGGTGGTCACAGCACAGCTTTGAATATGTGTCACTTTGTACAATCCTGGCAATAATCTAATCTCCTGCAACAAGCTGCTGAAACAGCTTACTCTTCAGAAACTCCAATTTTAGGGCTTCAAGTCCATGATTTCTCCCAGTCTATTGGCATTCTGTTGTTGTTAAGTGCCACTGAGTTGGTTCCAATCCACAGCAACCCTGTATAGGGTTTCCGAGGAGCGGTTGGTGAGCTTGAACTGCCAACCTTGCAGTTCAAATGGCTTTGCAGTCTGGTGCATTAACCCACAGCGCCACACCAGGACTCTATATTAGCATTCTAGATCACCCAAATTAAAAAATGTGGGTTTGTTCTGATTTTACTTCATTAGCCATGACTGAACTAGTTAAAAGCCCTGGTTTATTTATATTACTGTTCAGGCAACTTCTGACCTTTTCTATATAAAGACAGTGTTTTGATTCTAAGAAAAAAAATATTGATTTCATCTCTACACTGAGCTTTCTCCATTACACAAAACACACTTGATATTTGTGCCCTTAATATAAATTATTGATAATCTGATTATGCAAATATATCAACTCTGTATGTTTTAAAGAAGTTTTATTTGTACAACAAAAGGACAAACAATTCAATCAAAAAATAAGTAAAGGACATAAACAGACTATTCACCAAAGAAGACATTCAGGCAACTAACAAACACATGAAAAGATGCTTGCACTTTTTAGCCACTGGTGGTGGTGGTTGGTGGCTGTGTGCCATTCAGTTAATTCCGATGCTTATGGACACACTGTCAGGAGGGACCAGTCACTGGAGAAGGATATCATGTCTGGTAAGGTGGAGGGTCAGAGAAAAAGAGGGAGACCCCCAACAAGATGGACTGGCCAAGTGGCAACATCGATGGACTCAAGCGTGGCAACAGTAGTGAGGTTGGCCCAGGATCAGAAGTGTTTCGTTCTGCCCTGTGAGTTGGTACCTAACAACAACAACAACAACAAGTGACCCTATATAGGGTTTCTGAGGCTGTAAATCTTTACAACAGGAGCAAAAAGCCTCATCCTTCTCACATGGAGCAACTAGTAGATTTGAACTGCTGACCTTGTGGTTAGCAGTCCAGCTCATAAGAGATGCAAATTAAAACTATAATAAGGTATCACCTCAGCCCTGCAAAAATGACACTGATCAAGAAAATACAAAACAACAAATGCTGATGAGGTTGTAGAGAGACTGTTGTGAAATGCTGTCGAATCGGTTCCAAATCATAGAAACCTGTACAGGGTTTCCAAGGAGCAGCTGGTGAGTTTGAACGCCGACCTTGTAGTTCAAACTACCTTGCATTCCAGCAGCGCATTAACCCGCAGTGCCACCCCAAGACTCTGTAAGGAGACTGGGACACTTACATATTGTTGGTGGATTATAAAATGGTACAGTCACTAAGGAAAACAGTTCAATACTTTCTCAAAGCTAGAAGCAAAATACCACATTGATCCAGCAATCCTATCCCTAGGTATAGATCCTAGATCCACAGTGGCATTTACCACTGTGAATAATGCTACAATGAACACAGGTATATATGTCATTGCAGCATTATTTACAAAAACAAAAAGATGGGAACAACTTAAGTATAGATCAATAAAGCGTGGCATACACATACAGTGTAATACTATGCAATGATAAATGACAATGATGAATTGGTGAAATACCTTACTTACGGATGAGTATGAAATAAGTCAATCATATAAGGACAAACATGAGCCCTAGTGTAGTGCTATGGGATAATGCACTGGACTGTAAGGCTGACCTGTAAGGCTGACAGTTCAAACTCATCAGCCATTCCTTGGAAACCCTATACATGGTCACTATGAGTCAGAACAATAGATGGCACTTAACAACAACAACATTATACTATTTCTATATAAAGTCAAGAACAGGCTTATACACAGAAAGGGAGGAAGAATCACTTAGTAGATAGACAACACGTGTTAATTCTGGTGAAGGGAAAGGCAATATATAATAAAGGGAAAATCAGTACAATGTATTCAAGGTAAATGAAGACACTGAGAGGCATGCTACAATAAAGGACAATTACAGTAAATGCTACAACATACACAGTTCTGCAACAATAGCAATAACAACCAAAGAATGTGTGAATGTCTACACAGGCATATGGGTGTACATGACTGTATACACAGGCATGACTGTGGCCCTTTGCATATACACACCTATCTGTATGTGCTATACATTCATAATGTAAAAGAACACATATAGCCACAATTAAGGAAATTTTCTACACATATCCATACACTTTGTGGGACTGAGTTACTGGGTTTGACGACTCAAAACCAAAGTCTCAAAGGACACCTATGGCACAACAAAGTTCATAAAGATAATGTTTTACATCCTAGTTTGATAAGTAGCATTTGGAGTCTTACAAGTTTGTGTGGTCGACTAAGACACAACTATTGTTCTCCTCCCATTGGAGCAACAGCGAGAAAAAAAAAAAAAAAGACTCAAAGACCATCAATTAGTTTACAGGACTAATGAATCACATGAACCACACAGCCTCCTCTAGCCTAAAACCAGAACTAAATACTACTTTGCTAGTACTGACGAGATCTTCAAAGCAGCAAGGTCTAACCACTACACTACAGGCCTTGCTCCTTCAAGATGGCGGATCGGGTAGACGTGTAGTGAGGAGGTTGGTCAACAACAACACGGAAAACCGGGCCAAGAGGGCTCACGAGATAGTGTTGGAACTTTGAAACAAATATAAAGATATGTTTGGAGGATCGGAGGGTTTACAGCTGGGGAATTTGAAGGGAATCCAGAAATCCATTGTTTTCTGAATCAAGACACTCAGCTATTCCAGGAGCCGCCATCTTGGGAGAGAACATCTTGACTGTATCAGGATTGATAGTATCAGGAGAGAACATCTTGATTGTATCAGGATTGTATCAGGATTGACATCGAAATTTAAAGTGACAGTATCAACATAAAACCAAACAGCCACTACTCGTCTGTCTGTCGTGCTGTGGTGGATTGAGTTGCTGTGATTCTGAGGGATATGCCACCAGTATTTTAAATAACCGGCAGGGTCACCCATGGTGGACAGGTTTGAGATGAGCTTCCAAACAAAGACAGACTAGGAAGAAAGAGTGACAAACTACTTCCAAATCACTAGTCACTGAAAACTCTATGAATAGTAGAGAAACATTGTCAGATACAGGACCGGAAGGTGGGAAGGCACTCAGAATGCGACTGGGGAAAAAAATGCCTCCTTAAAGTAGAGTTGACCACGATGACGTGAATAGAGTTAAGCTGGGGGGAGAAAAGCGCACAGAACCTTCATTTGCTGATGGGCCACAACTCAAAATGAAGAGAAACAGCTGTAAACATCCACTAAAAACTGGAACATGGAATGTATGAAGAATGAATCTGGGAAAATTTGAAGTTGTCAAAAATGAAATGGAATGCA